ATAATATGTGCATACTGGTTCATGCTGTCAAGAGGCAAGAGCAAGAGCTGCCTTTGGAAAGACGAATAAGCAACGCCCTTATGGAAGTTGGACCATCGATCACTCTTGCAAGTTTGGCCGAGATTTTAGCTTTTGCTGTTGGTGCTTTTATAAAAATGCCAGCTGTTCGAGTATTCTCCATGTTTGCTGGTCAGTAAAACTTTTCAGTATTTCAGTTTGAATGCTCACATTATCTACGTTCTGACTTTATAACGTTTCTATGCATCATGTTTGCAGCATTGGCTGTCCTTTTGGACTTTCTTCTGCAGGTTACTGCTTTTGTTGCGTTGATAGTTTTTGACCTCCAACGGACAGAAGCTAAGCGGGTTGATTGCTTTCCGTGTATTAAGACATCACAATCATCAAACAGTGCTGACAAAGGTAATCACTTTTACGTTTTGATATATCACTGTATCCTTTTTTTATTTTGTGAAATCAAAGTTTCATTGGAGTTGCATTGTATCACTATCAGGGATTGGTCAGAGAAAAGCTGGCCTTTTGACTCGATATATGAAGGTACTTTATTTATTACGGAAAGAACATATGTTTCAATACATGAAAGTTTTTTAGTTTTCTTAAATTTTTAATGCTTCATTTTACATTTTCAGGAAATTCATGCACCAATTCTCAGCAATTGGGCAGTCAAAATATTTGTTATTGCCTTCTTCTTTGGCTTAGCAATGGCTGGAATTGTAAGTTGATATATTTTCTGACCCATAAGAGAATGGTGTATTCTTCAGTTAGCTGTTGAAACTAGCATCTCTTATTTACCGTGTTCGTGGACTATGTAGGCATTGTCCACTCGGATTGAGCCTGGTTTGGAGCAACAGATTGTTCTTCCACAGGACTCATATCTTCAGGTTTGCATTGATCTTTACTAATGTAAATTATCAAATCTAGGATATCTAACAAGTGCCCCTCTTTTCCTTTTAGGGTTACTTCAACAATGTTTCTACATATCTTCGTATTGGTCCACCTTTATACTTTGTTCTGAAAAATTATAACTACAGGTATCTCACGTTCTGTATCTCCTAGCTAGAAGTGTTTAGCTGAAATAATTCGGTCAAACTTATGATTAAAACTCGATTTGCATCATGTCTCAGCTCAGAATCAAGACATACAAATCAACTTTGTTCCATTAACAAGTGTGATCCTAACTCTCTTTTAAACGAGGTATGTAGCTTGTCTGTATTTATTTTCATTTCTCCTCTTAATATAATTTGGATAGCTATCATTGATATGTATAGAGTTTTTTACAAATCAAATTACTAGTTTAGTAAGTTAAGTCTGTATATAACCTGGAATTATCTCTAGTACTTTCTGAAAGAAGTAATATTTTTTCTATGTTCTCACAAGATTTTAAGACATGGTACTATTAGTTGCTACAAATTCTTTGTCTGTTGGCATTAATTGTGTTTCAGTAATCAAATAGGCACTGTTTTAGCAGAGTGTTCGTATTGTTTTTGAGTATCTTACTCAAATTTCATTCTTGGCCATAGATTGCAAGGGCTTCTTTGACTCCAGAACTAAGCTACATAGCTAAGCCAGCTGCTTCATGGCTTGATGACTTTCTTGTGTGGTTATCTCCTGAGGCATTTGGCTGTTGCCGGAAGTTTACAAATGGTACCTTTTGCCCCCCTGATGACCAGGTAGGTATATGTTTTTTTTATTTCAGTGCCATGGTTTAGAGTCAAGATACTGTAAATTTAGTGGTCCTATATACTATGTTCAAAATATTATGGTCAACATGTGTAGATCAATTTATAACTTACTGAAGGCTAATGTTCTTGTACTTGTGTTGCATTTCCAGCCTCCTTGTTGCGCTCCTGATCAAGGCAGCTGTGGCCTAAGTGAAGTATGCAAAGATTGTACCACGGTAATTTGGCTCATGATGATCTAATCGAAGTGTGCTGTATTTCTTACTCTCTGCAACATCTGTAATGATGAGTTATATAATTATTTTTTTCTGGTTGTCTAGTGCTTCCGTCATGCAGATTTAAGTAGTGACCGTCCATCCACAACCCAATTCAAAGAGAAACTTCCTTGGTTCCTCAACGCGCTTCCTTCCGCTGATTGTGCTAAAGGTGGTCATGGTGCTTATTCTACTGGTGTTGATTTGAAAGGTTTCCACACTGTCTCCTTTTTCTTTTTAAGTCCATTTAACTGTCATCAATTCTCTGTAAATATGCATGTTCTCCTTTCTAACCAGGCTATGAAAATGGTATCATTCAAGCTTCATCGTTCCGAACTTATCACACACCCCTTAACAAACAGGTACTTTCCCATCTTATAATATGTAGATAAACTTTTCAAGTTTAATGTAAGTCTCTATTCTTGTGTTAGTTTATACTGAAAGTTTGTTTTCAGGTTGATTATGTCAATTCAATGAGAGCTGCTCAAGATTTTAGTGAAAAAGTTTCACGTTCCTTAAAGGTGAAAATAATAAACTACCGTATACTGATCGATGCAAGTTCCATGATTTCATATTTTGGCATCTTCTTGATAAAAAATGACTAATATCTAGCTGGATGGTTTTACTAATATCACTATGGTCTCTGATAAAGTTCCATAATGTCTAACTTAGAGTTTGTTCTCGTTCAGATGGAGATATATCCTTATTCAGTATTTTATATGTTCTTTGAGCAATATCTTGACATTTGGAAAACTGCATTAATCAACCTCTCCATAGCCATCGGTTAGTAAATTTTCTATTCGCAGATCGTAGCTTTGAGTTTCTAGTTGGTAGGTCTTGATTCTAACTTTGGACATTGAGCTAACTATGAAAGTTTTATTTTTCACAGCTGCCGTGTTTGTCGTGTGTTTAATCATCACATGCAGGTATCACTCTAAAGCTCATTCCCACTGAAATTTACTCCAACCTCTGTATTAACCATAGCCTTTTGCTAGATATAGTTAAACCTGATTCTACATTTTTTTTTCCCTCTGTCTGGTTTCTAACTCAGCTTTTGGAGTTCCGCAATTATTTTGCTGGTGATCGCAATGATTATTATTGATCTCCTGGTAATTTACTCTCTCACTGTTATTTGAAAACCGATCTGTTTTCATACACTCGGGTTACTAATGTTATACTCTACCAACCCTTTTAAAACATTCTAGGGAGTTATGGCAGTCTTTCATATCCAGCTAAATGCACTATCGGTTGTAAATCTAATCATGTCCGTGGGCATAGCGGTTGAGTTTTGTGTACACATAACTCACGCTTTCTCGGTCAGTCCCACTCTATCTGTATTAACAATATTAACATACCAAAATGCTATTTTCATCCTGACCGAGACTTTCCTAAATGCTCAGATAAGCTCTGGTGACAGAAACCAACGGATGAAAGAAGCGCTCGGTGGAATGGGAGCTTCAGTCTTCAGGTAATTGTCTCTCTTCAACTCGATTCATGAACATAGAACACCGATATGAAAAACCTGTTTCCCTGAGTATAAGCTGATAAACACTTAGCAAACCCCATAACTTAGTATTCTTATATTTGTTTCATGTACCTTGGCAGTGGAATCACATTGACAAAGCTAGTTGGTGTGATTGTGCTCGGTTTCTCAAGATCAGAAGTCTTTGTGGTATGTGCTTGCCATCTCTTGAAGCCTTTTTTTTTTTCTCCTTTCTTTTTCCTATTTGGCTTCTGAATTTGATTTTGTTTTTCTTCCCCGGACAGGTCTACTACTTCAAGATGTATCTAGCACTAGTCCTACTCGGGTTCTTACACGGTCTTGTATTTTTACCGGTAAGCCATGATCATTCAAACGTTCACTCATGTTAGACTTTTTGTTTCCATTTTTGTAACACATTGGTTTAAATGGTGAAGGTGTTCTTGAGCATGTTTGGTCCAGCTCCAAGACACGTCGAAGGAGAAAGGCAAGATCATCGGCCTTCGGTTTCATCGTTGCCATAGATGGATTAAGTTTTTTTTAGGTTTTCTTTTAATTATAGCATCCATTTGTAAATGGTTATAATTGTTACCTACAGCCACAGGGAAAGATAAGTTCAGGGCAATAGCCAATAGCAGAAAAAAAAAATCACATCAAATGTTCTTTCTTTTGGCCGGTGTTACTATTTCCATTATTACCAATTCATGATTTACCACCCATAAAATGAACTTCTCTCTATGAATGAAATGTGACATGATAGAACGTTGCGGTACAGGGTAATTGTGATTATCATATTTTGTAGACATATTTACACATTTTGTGCGATAATGGTTGATGGTTTAGAGATAGGCACATACATAGTATCTTGCAATTTCAGGATACAATACTTGAATGAGAATTTGAGACGCAACAAACAACACCAACCAAAATTTTTACTCGGACAACTTGAAATGACAAAAATAACACGCAAAATAAAAAGCCGGTTTCAGTTTTGATTGTTGCATAGCCAAAAAGCCGTACCGAGTTATATTCGGTTTGATTCAGACTTTTTTCTTGTCGTCGAATATTCCAAAATAATTTCGGACATAACTTTTTGAATTTACCATACGCCTAATTCTATCGAGATGATACAATGGTTGTCTAATTTACTGTGCCGTGCTCTATTTGTCAAGTTCTTCGATTATAGTATAGGAACCTAGATAATTCGAAATTCGAATTGTATAATCCAAATCTACATAAAAAATTAAAACTGCAATGTAACATATAATTTGGATTTCAACTTAAATTTAACTTTATTTTATCGTCTTTTATATAAATTCGGGAACTATGAAAAATCCGAGCCAAATCGACCCGAAAGCCGATCTGGTAAATCTAGTGGCTACAAAAAAAAATGAAAAGTCCTCCAAAACTCCCAAGACTACCAAAAAACAGCTTTATCCGACGTGGCTAAATTATTTTCTAGAGAAGTATCTGACGTGGCTAAAACATTCGATTTCATTGGTTCATAGCAACGTAACAAATTGATGACGTGTCTTTTTACATATTCAAAAATCTCCTTTGCCCAGAAAAAGAGAGAGAGAGAGACAGATCGGGAAATAAGAATGGGGAAGCTGATGCTCTTCACCGCCGTGATTATCGCGATTGTTTCACTCGGAGCCTCCGTCGATGACAAATGCGCCGCCTGTAACGCCGTCGCGGTACGTCGGAACCCCTGTCTTTGAATTCGTATTATACAACGATTTCAACCTAAAGGACTGATTTTTTAATGTAATAGTGAATCGATTTCATGGTAATGTTAGTGAGATCTTCGATGAAAATGTTGTAAACCAAATGTGTCATTGGAATTTGCAATAGGGAAACTTGGTTCTGTCTAAAAAATGTCAAGTCTTTGATTCTAGGGGATTTGCTATATGATAAAAAGACTTAGTGATTTTGAGAATGAGTTAAGATCTTCCTTAATACTAAAATGGGTGCTTGATGTTTTACAGGAGGAGTTAGAGTTACAGCTTTTAAAGGTATTAGAACATCTTTGATATTTGTAATTTTTGTATTATAGCATTAACAAAGCTTTCTTGCTTATGTTTCAATGCTTTAAGTTAACATTTATCTTCTCGTTCTTGCTGTCGCGATGAGTACAAGAAAGTATTTAAGTAACTTGATATTGTTATCTTTTGAATAGGAAAAACCAAGAAACCATCTTGATATGAGAAACCGGCTAAACTCTAAAGGTCAGCGTGAAGGGAAGGTTATTGATTACAGGTACTACATTGTAGCCTCATTGTGGTTTATCTAGAAAAGAACCTATGCCAGCTTTGATCAGTGTATTCTTTGTTTCTATGTGTAAATCCTGAAAATGAGTATGGTGGACTGGACACATGGATAGGGTGAGCTGAACTAATTGAGTTCATTTTATCTGCGTTTGCATGATTACGTGATTTGTAATAGTGATCTTTATTACAAGTAGAAGTTTGAGTTGTATTTAGGAGCTGTGACGAAAGGCAAACAATCTAATAGTTGGACACTTATAAGACTGTCTTTAAATTGATGTTAAATGACAATTGATACAGATTCACTATGATTTCCTCAACAATTGTATTATGTTGCTGTTTTAGGCATTTTTGTCACGGTGAATGATCCTGTAATTTCTCTTCTTTCTTTTGAATTCAAATAGAATAAGCGACCTGAGAGTGGTAGATTTGTTGGATGGGCTTTGTGATAGAATGCAGGATTATACTCTACAAAAGGTAAGCTAAGTTTTCGTAGCAACATCCTTGTGAATTTTAAGGTGTAACATCTCTTGATCATTGTACATAGACCAATAAGATTCTTATTGCCACACTTGTGCAGGTGGAATCTAAGAACAGTCAATGGGTGAAAGTGGGAAATTTTGACAGTCTAACAAGTAATGTTTACTTTCCTTTCAAAATTTGAGCTCTGTGACATATTTGCAATTGTTGATCACTTATCTAGCTGTAGGCCTGTTCTAGCTGCCTCACTACTTTATGTAATTTGATAAAGTAAGCTTAGACGACTCTTATAGGTAACAATGTTGTCATGTAGTCTATCCAGTTTTCTACTAGAAGACACTGTCATTGGATCTGCTGTCCGCTTTATCTGTTCAAAACTTCTATTGAGCAACAGTGAGAACGCTTTCGTGATGATTGAAATTTAGGAATAAGTATCATAGCTGTGAAATCCTCATCTCTTGTTAAAATTTCCGTGTTTGTTATGTTGTCATATAGATAAACAGGAAGCTAAAGCGCATGCCAATGACATTTCAACTTATTGTGGAAGGTAAGACAAACAAGAACCTCCTCAGGTCCACTATATGGGTCGTCTAAGTATCGTGTTTCAGCTTAAGATTCATCAAACTCGTTCTAAAATCTATACATGTGATTTCTTATCACAGATTGCTGGAAGAAACTGAAGATGAGGTAAACTTGCGGGTAGCCTTTCTCTTAACTGGTAGTTACGAGGTTGATCATATATACTTGATGTTGATGAGAAATTGCAGCTCGGTGAGGTAATAAAGAATGGCTCCCTAAAGGCTGGAGAAGTCCGCAAGGTTCTGTGTCAAAATTTAAGTAACCACTGCAGCAAATCGAGGTTAGCACAATGATGTTTCTTCTTACATTGTTCTGCCTCAAAACCATGATGAGAGATCTGATATGGTTCTGCATTTTGGTTTTCTGAATTCAGTGAAACAGACTCAGAGGATGAGGAGGACGACGATGCAGACGAATTATAGCTGAATCCAGTGAAAAGCTCAACCACTTACTTCCCATCAAGCGAAGGTCTCATTTTGATAGCCATGTTTTAGACACATCTATGTACAACTCATACGTACCTCAAAACACCTTTTCATATCTTATGTTCGGTCGATAATTGGGTCTCTGTGTCTTTTGTCGTCCCCATGTTTTCTGACCATTGTAGTGTTGCGATCTCATTCGAATTCTTGTAGTCGAACCCGCTTACTAGATCAACTCAACTAGATAAAACTTGTCAAAAAGACTAATTTTCTCATTACTTAATTTGGTGACTTTACAATGGTTTATATAGAGCTTAACTTAACAAAGTATTTACCACTTCGAAGTGACATAATTATCTGTGTTGACCAGGCTCGTCAGATGAACAAACATAAATTATACATAAAGCCAAGTGTTCAGATTTGGACCAATTAAAACCAGTGTAAATACACACTCCGTTTTTTTTAGTTGTTTGTTCTAATTTTGTTTCATAACAGTTGTCGTTTGATAAAAAAATACCAATTTTACCCTTGCTGTTTTAATTTCTTGACCAATTAAAAAACTAGAAAATATATTAAGAAAGGATAAAATAAAAAAATTTAGTTGTTTTTTTTTTTTTAACGCTGAATGATTTGATTAAAAAGAAGAAATAGTTCAATACAACAATGAGATATGATAAAACAAGGCAAAGAATTAAAAACTTAAATTAAAAACCACGACTTCTATCCCGATCGATGCGGTCGTGTAACCAAGATGGTCCTTCCATAGCCATATATGACGTCAACCTTCCGTCACGAGTAACACTACAAGCAATCTCCCTAGCCAATAGATGGCTTTCGGTGAAAAAAGGTGAAAGGAGAACTAATTTAAAACTGAAACGAGAACTAATTTAAAACTGAAAAATACTCTTTATGTAAATATTGATCATGTTATATATACTATTCATACCACCAAAGATAATACATCAGTTGATGTCTAACCATCAATTTTCTACCACTTTTCATAAATTTTATAACATAAATCTTATAAGAGCATCTCCATCGGTTGTTTCTCAATAAAAAATTCAACAATATTAAAAAATAATATTTCTTCTGTTTCATAAAATGTCTCATTTTAGAATTTTATTTTTGTTTCATAAAAAGTATAATTTATATTTCCAATATATGTTTACACTAAATTTTCTAATTTTAACCTTAGTTTTAAAACTAATTAAACCATTAAATACTTATTAAATAGGGATATATATATATATATATATATATGATATTTTCTTTTTTTTTTGTAAAATATATGATATTTTCTTAAATTGTATGAAATGTGTCAAAGTGACAATTCTTTGTGAAACAAGAAGGAATAATAGACAAAGAGGAAAGAGTGAGCATGATATCTTCATCCCAGATGAATCGTAAAAAGCACTTTTTTTAACACACACAATTTTAACCTTTTCAAAATTTTAAATTTTACAACCAAAATACTATAGCAATAAACATCTACAACCAAACACCTATAACTTAAAATCTACAGCTAAATTTAAGAATCTACCGCTAAAACCAATCATGCCCTAAACCACAAAATTATACATTTAAGTTTTCTGAATTACCATAAATAGAATATACTCTTTATCATACTCAAAAACTCTAAATATTAGTGCTCAATCCTAATCATTAGGGAAATACATATATACTCACAATGGACCACATTTAGTTAACAACTCCTCCTTGTCAACCAACAATTTTAAAGAAAAAAACAAAAAACTCATTTATCATGAGTCTAAATGTTCTTACTATATTATTATTATTTTCTCCTACCCCCAAGAAAATAAAGTGTAAAAAAGATTGAAAGGTTTCTCTTTTCAATCCAAAACAAAGTGAAGAAAAAATACAAAAAAAAATACAAAAAAAAAACACAGAAGCAAAAGAGAAGAGACACGTGAGAATGTGTCATCCTCTTTCCTCACTTGTCTGAGAGAAGAATATGAGGTTAGGATTAATCTCAATTCATCAGCGAATCTGATTCCTTCACTTTGTTCTTTCCTCTTTCTTCTCCAATCCTTCTCTCTCTCTCTCTTCCTCAATATTCATATCTGTTTCTTCTTCTTTTCATTGGGTAGTTGCAGAAGCAGCTTCATAAGCCACAAAAATATACATAAAGGTACAAACTTTAACTCTTACCATTTCTGGGTTTTTTATGTATTGCTTTGGTCCTACTGAAATCAACACTAATCAATCATCTGATTGGTCCAATTTTTATTAAAACCCTTTTTTTGATAACTTATAAAGGTACAAACTTTAAATTCTTACCATGTCTTTGTCAGCAGAGATGAAGCAGCAAGAACAACAACTATGGGTTTTGTTGTTGTTGTTGTTCTTGTCTTTGCTTTTAGGAAAAGGGTATTCTGGGAAACCAGAAGTTGTCAAAATCGGTTCTATCTTCAGTTTCAATTCAGCGATTGGCAAAGTTGCTAAGATTGCTATTGAGGAAGCAGTCAAAGATGTCAACTCAAATCCTAACATTCTTACAGGAACTAAGTTCTCTGTCTCGATGCAGAACTCTAACTGCAGTGGTTTCATGGGCATGGTTGAAGGTAATAACACCATTGACACTACTTTGGTTAATGTTTTTGGATGTTGTCAAATTTTGAGTTTGTTTGTTTGTTTGTTGTTTGTAGCATTGAGGTTTATGGAGAAAGATATAGTTGGGATTATAGGACCACAATGTTCTGTTGTTGCTCATATGATATCTCACATGGCTAATGAACTTCGTGTACCTCTTCTATCGTTTGCTGTAACGGATCCTGTAATGTCGCCGTTACAGTTTCCGTATTTTATCAGGACAACTCAGAGTGATTTGTATCAAATGGACGCTATTGCTTCAATTGTTGATTTTTATGGTTGGAAAGAAGTGATTGCTGTGTTTGTGGACGATGATTTCGGAAGGAACGGTGTCGCTGCGCTTAACGATAAGCTTGCGAGTAGGCGGTTAAGAATCACTTATAAAGCTGGTTTGCATCCGGATACGGCTGTGAATAAGAATGAGATTATGAACATGCTTATCAAGATTATGTTGCTTCAGCCTAGGATCATTGTGATACATGTGTATTCGGAATTGGGTTTCGCGGTTTTTAAAGAGGCTAAGTATCTTGGAATGATGGGAAATGGGTATGTTTGGATTGCTACGGATTGGTTATCTACGACGCTTGATTCTTCGTCTCCGCTGCCTTCTGAACGGCTGGATACTATTCAAGGTGTTCTTGTTTTGCGTCCGCATACGCCTGATTCGAGTTTAAAACGCGAGTTTTTTAAGAGGTGGCGTAAAGATTCTGGTTCATCTTTGGCTCTTAATACGTATGCTCTTTATGCTTATGATTCGGTTATGTTGTTAGCGCGTGCTTTAGATAAGTTCTTTAAAGACGGTGGGAATATATCGTTTTCTAATCACTCGATGCTTAATACCTTGGGAAAAAGCGGAAATCTCAACCTTGAGGCCATGACTGTCTTTGATAGTGGAGAAACTCTGCTTAAAGCAATCCTTACAACGCATATGGTTGGTTTATCAGGACAGCTTCAGTTCACTCAAGAAAGGTCTCGGACACGTCCAGCTTATGATATTATCAATGTAGCGGGAACCGGTGTTCGTCAAATAGGCTACTGGTCAAATCATTCTGGTTTATCAACAGTATCACCTGAGTCATTCTACACAAAGGGTCGACCAAATATGTCTGTTGGTGGTACATCAAGTCCGAAACTAAGGCATGTGATTTGGCCAGGAGAAACATTTACAAAACCTCGCGGATGGGTTTTCTCTAACAATGGGAAAGAGCTCAGGATAGGCGTGCCTCGTCGCGTTAGTTACAAGGAGTTTGTCTCACAGATTCGTGGAACGGAGAATTTGTTCAAAGGGTTCTGCATTGATGTCTTCACAGCTGCTGTGAACCTCTTACCATACGCAGTCCCTTTCAAGTTTGTTCCTTATGGAGACGGAAAGGAGAATCCGAGCTACACGCATATGATTGAGATGATAACATCTGGTGTGAGTACCTATTATATAAATTCTTTCTAATGAAAGTTGTTTTAAATTCATGATTTTTTTTTTCTTATTATTATTTCTCCTTACTACAGAATTTTGATGGAGTAGTTGGTGATATTGCCATTGTAACAAACCGGACAAAGATTGTAGATTTTACACAACCGTATGCAGCATCTGGACTAGTTGTTGTTGCTCCCTTTAAGAAACTGAATTCAGGAGCTTGGGCTTTTCTTAGACCTTTCAATCGACTTATGTGGGCGGTCACGGGTTGCTGCTTTCTCTTTGTCGGCATTGTTGTTTGGATCTTGGAGCATAGGACTAACGATGAATTCAGAGGCCCGCCGAAGAGACAATGCGTCACAATTCTTTGGTCAGTTTACTATATTTCCAAGGAGTAGCATAGAAAGAACAACTCCTACTTAACTTGTTAGAGGTCGAATAATTTATCGTTTGTTTGATATATGCAGGTTTAGCTTCTCGACCATGTTTTTCGCGCATAGTACGTGAAAAGAAACATGAAAAGTAAACTTATTGTGGCACTGGGTCACTGGTGATTGCTGGCTTTTGGCTAACACGAGTCTTTCCCTTGTTTTTGGCAGGAGAGAACACAGTTAGTACACTTGGACGGTTGGTTCTGATCATATGGCTATTCGTTGTACTTATAATCAACTCGAGCTACACGGCTAGTCTCACGTCGATTCTAACAGTTCAGCAGCTCTCTTCACCCATCAAGGGTATTGAAAGCCTTAGAGAAAGGGATGATAAAATCGGGTTTCAGGTGGGTTCATTTGCAGAGAGTTATTTGCGGAATGAACTCAACATATCAGAGTCACGGCTTGTTCCACTTGGAACACCTGATGCCTATGCCAAGGCTTTAAAAGATGGACCAAACAAAGGAGGCGTTGCCGCTATTGTTGATGAGCGTCCTTATGTCGAACTCTTCCTCTCCAGCAACTGCGCCTATAGGATCGTCGGTCAAGAGTTCACTAAAAGCGGCTGGGGTTTTGTAAGTACAAAGATATACTTTACCATTTGGTCTGAAATGTTTTTTTGTTTCTTATGCTCATTTCATGTAACATAGGCATTTCCAAGAGACTCTCCTTTAGCGATAGATCTATCAACAGCGATCTTGGAGCTGGCAGAGAACGGAGATTTGCAGAGGATCCACGACAAATGGTTAATGAAGAACGCATGCACTCTAGAGAACGCGGAGCTCGAATCAGACAGACTTCATCTAAAAAGCTTCTGGGGACTGTTTCTCATATGTGGAGTTGCGTGCATCTTCGCTCTCCTCCTCTACTTTATTCAAATCTTACGCCAGCTCTATAAAAAGCCAAACGACGATGCCATCGCGAGAGACCAGCAGCAAAGTCATGACTCTTCCTCTATACGCTCCACTCGTCTACAACGATTCTTGTCCCTCATGGATGAGAAAGAAGACGTTTCCAAATCCGTAAGCAAGAAAAGAAAGATCGACGGATCAGTAAACGATACTTCAGGATCGACACGATCACGAGGCTTCGACAGAGAACGAAGCTTCAATTCAGTAAACCCACTAGATTAAAAAATGTAGTTACACTCTTATAGAGACATCTACAATATTCTTTTTAAAACTGATTATAGTTTCAAACTGTATCTAAATCTTGATCTTAGACAAGAAGTGTCTACATGAAAAAATTTAATGTTTGGTGACATTTATTATAGTATATAGTATTTACATGTCACAAACTCTTAACAACCACACAACTAGCTTAAAGAGTTAGCTAAGACTAACGATTCAGAAACGTTGAACGAAACCTTACCGTGACATTAAATATATTGGGACCATAAGGTTGTTGTCTCTTTCAGATTTGAGAGAAGGCCACGACATTCTAAATCCTCATCCAATCCCTTACACCAAATAATAAATATATTTTTCCATTTCAGACAAAACAGTGAAACCTATCAATAATTATAACCACACAAACCTCAACTAAACCCTCATCTTCCTTATCTTTCTTCTGGGGACCGAGAAAACAAACAGCTTCTCTTCTTCTTCTTCTTCTTGATGGCAGGAGAATATTCCGGTAGCCGGAGTTCGAACACGCAGCTTCTCGCGGAACTTGAAGCGTTAAGTGAAAACCTTTACCAGAAACCTCAGGTTTCAGTTGGTAACAGGAGAACCAACTCTCTTGCTTTACCACGCAGTTCTGTTCCTTCTCTTGTTACCTCTGCTGATGATGTGAGTACAGCAAGAGTTGAGGATCTCACGGTATCGAAGCCCCGGGCTCGGCGTTTGTCGCTGTCTCCGTGGAGGTCTAGACCGAAGCTTGAGGTAGAAGAGGAAGAGAATGTGATTAACAACAATAAGAGTGTTAAGAAAACAGAGGAGTCGTCATCAGGGTTTAGTACAAAGGAAGAGAAGAAAGGGATATGGAATTGGAAGCCGATTCGAGGGCTGGTTCGGATTGGTATGCAAAAGTTGAGTTGTTTGTTGTCAGTAGAGGTCGTAGCGGCGCAGAATCTTCCAGCATCGATGAACGGTCTTCGGTTAGGGGTTTGCGTGAGGAAGAAGGAAACAAAAGATGGTGCTGTTCAGACTATGCCGTGTAGGGTTTCTCAAGGTTCTGCTGATTTTGAAGAGACGTTGTTCATCAAGTGCCATGTTTACTACTCGCCAGCGAATGGGAAAGGTGGTCCGGCGAAGTTTGAGGCTCGTCCGTTTTTGATTTATCTCTTTGCCGTGGATGCCAAGGAACTTGAGTTTGGAAGACACGTTGTGGATTTGAGTGAGTTGATTCAAGAGTCGGTGGAGAAGATGAGTTACGAAGGAGCTAGGGTTAGGCAATGGGATATGTGTTGGGGGCTTTCAGGGAAAGCTAAGGGAGGTGAATTGGTACTTAAGTTAGGGTTTCAGATTATGGAGAAAGATGGTGGAGCTGGGATTTATAGTAAACAAGGTGAATTTGGGATAAAACCTAGCAGTAAACCTAAGAATTTTTCTGGTTCCTTCGGGCGGAAGCAATCGAAGACTTCGTTTAGTGTTCCCAGCCCGAAGATGACAAGCCGGAGCGAGGCTTGGACACCCGTGAGTGGCGTGGAGCCAGGATCTGATGTTCAAGGGATGGAGCATTTGAATCTTGATGAGCCTGAGGAGAAACCCGAGGAGAAGCCGGTTAAGAAAACAGAGGAACCTGAACAGAGAGCTGAAGATGAGCAGGAGGAACCTGATTTTGAAGTTGTGGACAAAGGAGTTGAGTTTGATGATGACATGGAAACTGAGAAATCTGATGGAACTATTGGTGAAAGATCTGTGGAGACGAAGGAACAACATGTTAATGTTGATGATCCTCGGCATATAATGCGACTAACCGAGCTTGATTCGATTGCGAAACAGATCAAAGCGCTTGAGTCAATGATGAAAGACGAGAGTGATGGAGGGGATGGTGAAACAGAGTCACAAAGGCTAGATGAAGAGGAACAAACTGTGACAAAAGAGTTTCTTCAGTTGCTTGAGGATGAAGAAAGCGAAAAGCTTAAATTCTACCAGCACAAAATGGACATATCCGAACTGCGGTCTGGCGAATCCGTAGAAGATGAATCTGAGAATTATCTCTCGGATCTTGGGAAAGGTATTGGTTGTGTTGTTCAAACAAGAGATGGTGGTTACTTGGTTTCTATGAACCCTTTCGACACGGTCGTCATGAAGAAAGACACTCCTAAGCTTGTTATGCAAATCTCTAAACAGATTGTGGTAAGGACATGGATTAATATTTTCATAAAATAGAAACCTACAGAACAAGAATCTGAAATCTCTATAACAGGTTCTACCAGAAGCTGGATCAGCGACTGGATTCGAACTCTTTCACCGAATGGCCGGTTTGGGTGAGGAACTAGAGTCGAAAATATCTTCGCTTATGGCGATAGACGAGCTAATGGGGAAAACAGGTGAGCAAGTGGCTTTTGAAGGAATAGCATCAGCGATTATACAAGGAAGGAACAAAGAGAGAGCGAACACGAGCGCAGCGCGGACTGTTGCAGCCGTTAAAACGCTAGCTAATGCAATGAGCAGCGGAAGAAGGGAGAGAATATTAACCGGAATTTGGAACGTGGAGGAGAATCCATTGGCGTCGGCAGAGGAGGTTTTAGCAGCCTCTTTACAGAAACTAGAGGAAATGGTAATTGAAGGACTAAAAATCCAAGCTGACATGGTGGAGGATGATGCTCCTTTCGAAGTATCAGCTGCCAAAGGTCAGAAGAATCCACTCGAATCGACCATTCCGCTCGACGAGTGGCAAAAGGAGAACCGGAAGCAGAAATCGCTAACGGTTTTGGCGACAGTACAGCTCCGAGACCCGACAAGGAGATACGAGGCGGTAGGAGGGACAGTGGTGGTAGTAGTGCAAGCGGAAGAGGAGGAAGAGAAAGGGTTAAAAGTGGGAAGTTTGCACATTGGAGGAGTAAAGAGAGATGCAACGGAGAAGCGGAGGCTCACCGCGGCGCAATGGCTTGTGGAACACGGAATGGGGAAGAAAGGGAAGAAGAAGACTGATGTAAAGAAGAAGGAGAAGGAGGAAATGTTGTGGAGCTTGTCATCTAGAGTTATGGCAGATATGTGGCTCAAATCCATAAGGAACCCGGATGTGAAATTGCATAGCTGATCTTGGAGATATTCATATTATACAAAAGATGCATTTTGTTTAATTATCTATGTTTTGTATATTATTTAAGAGTTTCGAATTGTACCTGCAACAAACAATAGTAAAATGTGTTTTACCAAAATTTTTGAATTTAATATAAGAATTTTTTTTTTCCTTCATTCAAAACCAGGTATCAAAAGAACATGAATCAAAGTACTTAACCGGAATTAAATTAAAAAAGAGGAACCGAACCAAACCCGAATGGGCAACATATCCGAATGTATTCTGGACTCATATACTCGAAAAACCGGAACCGAACCAAAAAACCAAATGGATATCCAAATTTTTCAATATATAATTATATATTTAGAATTGATTAACCCAGTTACCAAAAATTACAATTATAAACACGAAAATATCAATTATTTTAATATAAAATAACCAAAATATAGTACTCAAAATAACAAAAAAAAATATCCCAAAATTCTTAAATATTTTTGTCAAATGCAATCAATTTTTTTTTTGTTGCAAATTTTACCTATTTAAAAAACATTTCCAATATTTTGGGTATCCGGAACATAATTAAAAATATTCAGAACCGAACCAAAATTCTTATACCCGAAATAACCGAACCGAACCTCTCCCAAACGCCAAGATATTAAACCATGTAAGGATTACAAATGCATAAAAAATTCTACCTTACTAAAACTAGTTTGTACAAATTTATCAAAATATAGGACATGGTCAAAACATAGAAAACTAAACCATGTAAGTATTAAACAAATGATTACATAGCTAAAGCCTATGTTTCCAAAAAAAAAAAAAAAACAAGTGTATAGATTCTCACTTTTCATTCTTTTTCCTCGCCTTCTTATGCCATTGTTCTAATGCTTTTGATGTTTGTTCATCAAATACTGATCGCTTCATTATAGTTCCCATCTATAAATAAAGTGTATGCATGATGAGAAAACTATTCTATGGAGGATATAGAATTTGAAAGAAAAAAAAAAAAAAGGAATGTTGCATATATACTTGAGTGACAAGGGCATAAAGAGGCAATGTGATATAGCTGCATAGAAATTGCACTCCCACCCTAAAATTCAATACCATTAGTTCAATTGTCACAAACTCAAAAAAATTTAAAGGATTTTTTTTTTTTTTATGAACATATATATATATATATATATATTACTCACCCTAGACACACACGGATGATGATAAGGCCAAAATGGTGATGAAAACATGACCTTAACCCAAACTCGTACTGCAAAAACAATCATTAACTCATTATTTTAAAAAAAGTTTCTATAATTTAAATAAAGAGAAATTTCCTTAGATAGCATGTTTTAAGTTTTTTTTCCAAAAATACTACAAAATTTTTATTTTCCAAAAATACTATAAACATAAAAATTTGAATTTTGAAGATGTAGAATTATTGTTTTTTATGTTTGGGTTGACTATTTATATTATTTACATTTAGGGTATAGTTTTTAGGGGTAGGGTGTAGTGTTCAGGATTTAGAAATTAGTTTTGAATGTTAAAAATTTAAGTTTTAGTTTTGTGATATTTTTGGAAAAAATATAATTTAGTGGTATTTTTGGTAAATAAAATTTATAATGGTAGTTTTGGAAAAATACCCATTTTTGTGGTATTTAAGAGAATTTCCTTAAATAAATAGCAACATAATGTAAAACTAGAAGAAAAGTTTACCCAAATCCAAATGAAGTAAGTAATCTCAAAAGCATTCTGAAAAATTTAATAAACAAATAAAGAATTAGTATCCATACTAAAACATCATATATATCAACATTCAATTATATACCAAAATTTACCTGAAACAGAACAAAGTGGATCATATGAAGGACTAAAGCTGGTTTGCCAAACCAAAAATGTTGGTCGGAGACATTAACTACTGGCATCCCTTGAATTACTGCATGTCTCTCTTGAATCTCTAGTGCCATGTACGATATAATGGCTTGAAGCTTTGTTCCTATGGCTAGTGTTAACTTCAAACCAACCACAATTAGTTTGCTCTTCTTGTTTTGAAGTATAAGAACGAGCGTCTTATATATATATATAGTAGTTAAACTAATCACTTACTAGAGGAGGAATCATGGTGATTACAGCAGTGATATACCATCCTATTAAGTTTCATAAGAAGAGAAAAAAATGTATTAGTTTCTGGGCGATTGGTACGTGACTTTTAAGGCTGTAGAAATATTTAAGCCCTTTACAGTATTTTATTTGCCAATTAAATATTTTTGGATTTTTTTTTTAAGTATTAAAAGCCACTTCTATTTTTTCTTCTTTGTTTTTCTATTTTCTGAAGTGTCAAAAACACGGCTTTTATTTTTTCTGAAGTCTCAAAGCCACTACCCAAATCTAAAAACTTTATTTTTCCCCTTTTTATATTTAAAATTTCTACACAAATTTATATAAATATTTTATATATTTTATTTTTATCAATTAATAAATTTTATAAATTTTGTTTTTATGAATTGATAATTCACATTTTTTTATTTTTCTTTTAAGATCCATTTCAATAATAAATATTTTCTATATTTTAATTTTAGGAATTAATATATAAGAATAATAATAATAACTACAATTTTTTGAAGTTATTTGTTACCAATCAAATTTTAACAGTTAAAGTTTATACAGTCAAAGTTTATATAGCCAAATTCTCTGCAACTAAAATTTTAAACTCAAAGTTTTTACAGCTAAAAGTAACAGTGGTTACCAATCGATCCCTCTATGTTAGAAACGAAAGATAAGATATTTGTATAATGTACGAAAACGATATAGGAAAAACTAACCGTGAACATCGAAGAGTAAGAAGAACATTACAAAGGCCCATAGCTCGGGTCTGTCATATTGAATGGTAGATTGCATTAGATAATATAGACATAAAATGTATAAAACGATACTAGTAAAAACAATCCCTATGCTATTTGAATATTCGTTGTGCCTAAATATTCGTGGCTATAGCGTCATAGTTTAAATAATGCATGGTTTTCTTTTAATAAATCACCTTATAACCACGAAATTTCGCGACTGCCAAGTAGCTATAAGTTTTTTTTTTACTAGTATAATGAGTTACCTTATTCCTACAACCACCTTGAAGTCGTCTTCTAACGATCTTTTGATGTACTTTTGAAAGTCAAACTTCATACCAGGTGCCAGATGAACCTAAACACATAGATTTTTGGAAATTAGAACAATAAGAATTTGATAGCTATGGAGAAGTAATGTATATAATATCAATGCACTCACACTTATGAATCCATGTCGCATTGTCAAGTAATCAGACTTTCTCACTGATCTAAGTATTTGACGGAAGAAACACATCTGAAAAAAATAAAAGTATGAGAATAGCTAGAGAGAATATATCCTATTTATCAAGAATAACAACACTTAAAATTCAAGAAAATCGTACAACGTAGAAAAAGAATTTATTGCTAGCCCAAGAATTGACATGTTCTCGGACAAATGATGTCTCATGTGTGAGTCTAAATCTTGATGGATCTGTATAAAAAGTCATCAATAAAACCAAGTAAAAACTTCGACTTAGGTTTTGTTTTGTGTGGATGTATATATCATCTAATAATCAAGTTTAATCTAGTACCATTCATCATTTCTTGTTCATGGATGATCTCTTGCTCCCATACTTTCCAACCACGAATCTGTGTTTACGGAAAAAGAATTGTTTTAGTTAAATGCAAGGCAATCCTACCAAGTCAAAAGAAACACATATCAAATTGACACCTTCATGACGAGAAGTTCAAATCTACAGTTAAAAATTTCAAAAGTAAATGTATTTAACCATAAAAACATGTAAAAAATATGTGTAAGGGTTGTAATGCACGTTATTCTTGACTTAGTATGATTGTTTTGTATTTTTTGGATATGGAGGGTAGAGTTGCAAAATGGAACGACTTGAATTGTTTATTTGCACAAAACCTTAAAATTAATGATCATCAAGAGATACAATGTAAAAACTTTAGACATATACCTTTGCCCTTCCAAGCATCATGGTTATAGCACTATATATCACATGAAACACGGCCAAGAAGAATATGAATATATGCACTTGATGTAATGCATTTAGCGATATAAGCGCGACATATCCCTGTAACAATGAAAAACAAATAATTTTAGATTAAAACTACATCAAATTTATGCTGAAAAATTGTAGTTATAATTATTACTTTCTTGCAATTCACTGGTGGAGCATCGGCCAAAGAACGACGTTGAACGGAGAGAATACGCATTGCGTGATCCGTTTTTTTGAGCTTTTTATCATTATCATCACTAGGTCCATCATATGGACCACAAAATGACATGGCATGGCCGTAGCTTGATGGAACACATATGCTCGCAATGTAGTTTTGACCAAACGTTAGAAGCAGAGAAATAAATCCCAATACCATAAGCTCTACAATAAGTGACATGATTTTGAGTTAGATAGGAACCAAACAATATTCCTTCAAAAAAAAGACTAATTTCTATTCGATACCATTTTTTATCTTCTCAAGAGCTTCAAACAAAGCTTTCTTCTTCCTTCGTTCGAATACCTACAAGATGGAATTAAGGCCTTAATTAGCAAGTTCTTTAGAAACTTTACAAAGTAAAAAGAAATTCCTAAGGATATAAATGGATCAAATCAAGCTTTAGATGTTTTGGATTATTTTTTTTTTTTCTCACAGCCAAAATACTTCCTTAATTTAGTTTTTTGGCCGTAGAAAGTTCATTTTTCTAAAGACAATAATTTACAACTTTCCAAAAAAAATTTCTACAGCAAAAAAGAACTACATCAATAAAATCTACAGCGACAGCTCAAAATTCTACAGCTCAAAATCTACAACAAAAAATCCAAAGCCACAGTCGTAACCAATCAGAGCCTGAGTGTTATAAAAAAAAGTAATAACGACAAAAAAAAAACCATATACGTAAGGTATTAGTTGTGTAGGAAATGACCTCGCCCACTTTGTGAATTATGAGTTCCAAAATAATGGAGATCAAGATGATCACACCACAAACTGTAGAAACGGCCCAAGTCGGGGTCTGATCTAGTTGTCTTGGACCTTCACCTCCTCCACCACCACCTCCTCCAGCCATATCTTAAAACTGTGATGATGAACTTTTTTTGATATTTTTTTTTTGTTACTATGATTTTACTAACATAAATCCAATGTCATTAGAGATGAGACAATGAAAATGAAGTCAAAAGGGATAGAGAAAATGAAAAGGAAGAGGATGATATTGCCATTGACGTGCATGCGAAAATAGTAGAAAAAGTGTAGATAAATCCGGTGAGTTTCTGTTTTTTCTAATAAATTTTTATTTTTATAAATTAAGTTTATGCTTTTTTTTTCTTTTGTTTTCTTTCCTATTTTAGAGGCTTCCACATTATTTAAATGGGAATGTATGTATGGAGAGGAACTGAGTACGGAATACTTGGTGGAGGAAATTTAGAGCAAAAACAAATGGAATGTTAGCAAACTGATTATATATCACTAAAAGATTTTCCGCGCTAAGCGCGGTCTGTTTCAAATTTGACATAAAAGAAATAGTGAATTTCAAGTTTAAGATGAATTTTGTAAATGATTATATAATATGTACATTTCCAATAGATTCTATTTTAAAAATATAGTGTTATTTTAAAAATATAAAGAGTATAAAGAACAAATACCTAGTAGATTTAAAGAGTATAAGTTATTTGATTTTTAAAGGGAAACTATAATGCAGGGGTTCAGATAATAAAAAACTCAATATCCATTCCTAATAATATCTTATTTAGCTCTTTTTTTACTGATATTTCTCTCCCAATACCTATGCTATAGAGTAGTTCATTGATTCATTATTTGTACAGAGAAAAAATTTCTTCTGATTTTGTTCTCCAGAAGTAAATATAGATGATGATAATTAGTTTTCAATCGTCGCAACAACAACTCTCCTCATTTACAGGCGTGTCTCTTCGTTTTCCATTAAAATTCTGAGTGCTTCTCACTATTCATCTTTTTTTTCTATGTATTGTATCCTCACTCACCACCGTTTGGGTTTTATCTCTTTTCCTCTGCGCCATTACTGTAGCTTCGATCTCTTTTCCGGTGGTGTTGGGTGTGGAAAGGTGTTGATTGAGGGTTGTGGAGGCCAAAAGTCCCATGGTGTCTTAAACTTTCTCCGTTGCGGTTCTGGAGCTGCTTGAAGACTGTGGCAAGATCTGCCGGAGATTATGGAGCAAGACGAAGGTTCTTCAGAACCGCAATATTTGATAAATTGAAATTTATCGAATATTGAATAAGTTAGCATATGAACTTATCTTGTTAATATAAAACTTATTTGTATAACAACTATCTTACCATGTGCATACGGTATTAGCATTAATTTAACATATAATATGTAATTTATCACGATAACAGTTTATTTAACATGTTTAAAGAGAAATCAGAGCAAATTAAAAAAGCCTACTTTCTCTCTACAAGGCGACGATGACGGCGGCGGTACTCTAGGGATCTCCCGACGATGAGTTCGGTTCCTCTATAGTCCTCACAACTTTAACGCATATCTTTCTTTTCCTCTTCTGGTTTTATATCTTGGGTTTGGCTTTCAATTTCGGCTGCTTATCATGTCGCAGAGTTCGTTGGTGAAGACCGGTGCCTCGGGGAAGAAGGTGGAGATGGGCCAGAAGCGGAAGGTGAAGGTTCCTTTTTTCGACAATGCTGCTCTGATCGCTGGTTACGACAAAACCGTCATCGGGCGATGCATGAACCCACGCAAACAAGACATGAAGACTCTGCTCTTTATGCTCCCTCGCATCTGGCAGATTGAGGATAAGGTCGTGGGGGTTGATCTCGGTCTTGGGAGGTTCCAATTCGATTTCGAGAGAGATGAAGACATTGAGGAGGTGTTCAAGATGGAGCCGTTTCACTTCGATCATTGGATGCTGTCGATGGTTCGTTGGCAACCATCAGTGGATCCAGCATATCCCTCGGAGATTACTTTCTGGGTACGAGTATTGGGCGTGCCTCTCCAATGTTGGGCAGATCCGACGTTTCGGTGTGTCGGAGAAGATTTGGGGAAGGTCCATGCTATTGATATTGACGCGGGGCGTGTTCGAGTGACGATCGACGGCTTCAAGCCTCTGTGCTTCGAGACCGATGTGGAGATTGAGTCGGGTATCGAGTTTTCGGTCACGCTCCGGTACGAAAGACTCTTCGGATATTGTCGCCTCTGTTCCAGCCTGTGCCATGATGAGGATCACTACGGATTGGTTGTTAATGAGGTTTCTGTGCGCCCTCCGCCATACTCTCGGGATGACGGGGATAGAAGGAGTCAAAGTTATAGAGGTGCGGTCGGAGCTGACAAGAGACGTGGAGCGGATCAAGACGGCAAACTGCGGGATTCTAATAGGAGTAGAGAGGGAGGTGAGGAGACCCGAGGTGATGGTGGTCAGAGAAATGCCGGTAACCGTCAGGAGCATCGTAACCGGTCTGGTTTTTACCAAGGAGAGACATCATACAGACCACGGAGGTACACCAGTTATGCGGCTCTCAATGGTCACAGGAGAACTGCGATTGATGAGGAAACGGGAGAGATCGGCATTGTGGAACCACATGAGAGGAAGGGGATGGATCCTCAAGCTAAGAAAGTGCGGAAGGCTCTATTCCAAGAAACGGTGACAAGTGTGGTTGATACGGTTGCGGAGGAGGAGCAAGAGGTGGCTGGGTTAGCTGCCGTGGTGGCAGTGGAAGCAGGCGAGGCTCAATTAGTTGGAGCTGGAGAGGTGCAGCACCCAGAAGAGGCCATTTCCACGGTGCAAGAAGAACAAATGATGGTGGAGACTGATGCGGTTTCGTCCCTTTCTCTGGGAACTATGGAGAATCCGGCTGTAGTGCACGGGTCTATGAATGAGGCTGGCCAGTTAGGAGATACGGTGGGTGAGGTAATGGACTTGGAGAGTTTGGAAATGACAAGTGGGGAAGCTTTTGTGACGTCTCTAGAAGAGTTGGTTCTTGTGGAGGACAACAAAGAGGACGATGCGAGGAAGGTTCCATGAGCTGATAAAGGAAGGCGAGGGAAGGGTGTTCCGCTGGCTGGAGTTAGCTCAAAGAAGAGAATCGCCAATATGGTTACAACGCCGAGGAAGAGGTCTGCCCCAAAGGTCACCACACAAACCGACGAAGCCGATAACCCACCAAACCGGGAGATGGATAAGGAGGATAACGGTGGTAAACCACCAAAACCGAAGGGTAACAAATGAGAGTACTATCTTGGAATTGTCAAGGGCTGGGAAATAAGGCGACTATCGGTTATCTCCAGGACTTATGGAAGCAACATCGGCCGGATTTTTTATTTTTATCGGAAACTAAGCAATCTTTTCTCTTTTTAGAACAATTTCGTTGTCATTTTGGTTATAATAATGTAGTGACGGTTGATCCTATTGGTTGTAGTGGGGGTTTGGCTCTTTTCTATAATAATAATACTTTTAATGTTTCATTTTTATTCAAATCTAATCGGTTAATTGATATTGAAGCGACTTTTAATAATCGTGTGGTTCACTTGACCTTTGTTTATGGCGATCCGGTTCCAAAAAATAGAGATTTGGTTTGGGAGCGTTTATTAAGGTTTAGTTTAAATCGCTCCTCCCCTTGGTTTCTTATTGGTGATTTCAATGAAATAACGGGTAATCATGAAAAAACCGGTGGAAAATTGAGGCATGCTTCCTCTTTTGTTGATTTTAATGGGATGATTATAAATTGTGGTTTATTGGAATTTCCCTATATAGGGGATTGGTTATCTTGGCGGGGTTGGCGGGATAAGAATCCAATTAGATGTAGGTTGGATAGGGCTCTAGGTAATGCGGATTGGCAGAACATCTTTTTGGATACGGTTTTAGAATATTTGCCCATGGTGGGTTCGGATCACAAACCAATATTGGCTGTTGTGGCTCAACAAAAAGTACGTAGGAGGCGGTGTTTTATGTTTGATAAACGGTGGGTGGGGAAGGAAGGCCTTAGTGAGGCTATTGAACATGGGTGGAATGGTCTCTCTGATACCCGATCGGCAGGTTTTATGGATAAATTAGTTAACTGTAGGCACAAAATTTCACAGTGGCGGAAAATGCAGGTTCCTTATGGTCGGGAGTCTATCGAAGAGTTGAAGAAGAAACTTGCCGAGGCCCAAGAATCGGATAGCTGTACACCGGAAGAGGTTTACGATTTGACAGTTCGGGTACGTAATGCTTATAAAGATGAAGAGATTTATTGGCAGCAGAAAAGTAGGAACAAGTGGATGCGGGTTGGTGATAAAAATTCAAAATTTTTCCACGCACAAACAAAAATGCGTCGGGCTAGAAACAGGTTAGTTGGGTTATTTGATAAAAATAATATTTGGTCATCGGATGAGAAGGAGGTGTGTAAATTAGCGGAGGAGTACTTTACGAATCAATTTACTACAAGTAAGCCCACAGATTTTGAGGAAGTTTTGGAAGACATCCCGATGATGATTACAGAGGAAGTAAATGGTTATCTTACGGCGCCAGCTACGGAGGAAGAGGTGCATAGTGCTTTATTTATGATGCACCCAGACAAGGCACCGGACCCGGACGGAATGACTGCATTATTTTTCCAAAAGGCATGGTCGGTGGTTAAAAAAGATTTGACCACCTTGGTTAACTCCTTTTTTCGGGATGGCATCTTTGATAAACGGTTAAATAAAACGAATCTATGTTTGATTCCAAAAGTGGAACGTCCTACGAGAATGACGGAGTTACGACCTATTAGTCTCTGTAATGTGGGGTACAAGGTAATCTCTAAAGTTTTATGTCAACGATTGAAAACGGTTCTTCCCCTGCTCATTTCGGAAACCCAGTCTGCTTTTGTGGCCGGACGACTAATATCGGATAATATATTAAAGCCCAGGAAATGTTTCACGGTCTTCGTACTAATGCCTCTTGTAAGAGTAGTTTTCTGGCCATTAAAACGGATATGAGCAAGGCCTATGATAGAGTTGAATGGGCTTTCCTCGATAGGCTTTTGCGGAAATTCGGTTTTACGGATAAATGGATTGCATGGATAATGTTTTGTGTAACTTCTGTTGAATATAGTATACTTATTAACGGTCATTCGCAAGGTTTTATACGGCCAGGGAGAGGATTACGACAGGGAGATCCTCTATCCCCGTATCTGTTTATTCTATGCACTGAGGCATTAATTGTTAACATTCGAAAAGCGGAAAGGAATAAGTTGATAACTGGAATTAAGGTCGCAAATAAGTGCCCGCCTATCACTCACCTCCTCTTTGCGGATGATAGTCTATTTTTTTGTAAGGCAAATAAGGATCAATGTGCGGTTATATTGGCGATCCTAAAGCGGTATGAACGAGTTTCTGGCCAACAGATTAATTTGCAGAAATCTTCGATTCAGTTTGGGCATAAAGTAGATGAGACTATTAGAGTAGAACTGCAGGCACTATTGGGAATAAATACTTTGGGTGGAATGGGGTCCTATCTGGGTCTACCGGAGAGTCTAGGTGGCGCAAAAACAAAAATTTTCTCATTTGTTCAAGAGAAACTAGACAAACATATTAATGGTTGGTCGGCAAAACTGCTATCAAAGGGTGGTAAGGAGGTGATGATTAAATCGGTGGCATCGGCGCTACCGACATATGTTATGTCGTGTTTTCGAATCCCGAAAACTGTCACAGCAAAACTAACAAGTGCAATAGCAAAGTACTGGTGGAGTACAAACGGTACGACAGGCGGTATGCATTGGCGTTCGTGGGATAAGTTATGTTCTAGTAAGAGGATGGGCGGTTTAGGCTTTCGGGATATCAATGATTTCAACACAGCCTTGCTAGCTAAGCAATTATGGCGCTTGATGGAGGTACCAGACTCCCTGTTCGGAAAGGTTTTTAAAAGCAGATATTATCGAAACTCAAATCCGATGGAACAACTACGGTCATACTCACCTTCTTATGGATGGCGGAGTATTATGTCAGCTAGATCTCTGGTTAAAAAAGGACTTATTAAAAGAGTTGGAGAGGGCCACACAATTTCGGTGTGGACTGATCCTTGGATCCCAGCTCAATTCCCGAGACCAGCTCTGAGTAATGGATCCTTGATGGATCCTTCGCTACAAATTCAACATTTACTGGATCGTTCGTCTAACTCTTGGAAGATAGATGTGCTCCAGGATAATTTTGCCCAAACTGACGTGGAACTGATAAGTGCTATCCGTGTAGGTAATTACCCAACTTCGGATTCCATTGGTTGGCATTTTACAAAAAATGGAAAATATACGGTTAAATCAGGTTATCATACATCGCGGTTACCTGATCCTGGTATTATAATTCCCCAGGTGAGTGGACCGGATATAGTCCCTTTAATTGCAAATATATGGAAAGTTCGATGCCCGCCAAAAATTCAACACTTTATGTGGCAAGTGCTGACAGGGTGTATTTCGGTCTCGGCTAATTTAAACAATCGTGGTATTTTATGTGATCAAATGTGCATGCGTTGTGGTGATCAATCGGAACCGGTAAACCATGTTATGTTTGAATGCTCGCCTGCTCGGCAATCTTGGGCTTTGGCTCATATCCATGTGGGCAACATCCAATTCCCTATTGGATCATTATATGTTAATATTGATTATCTCCTAAGGTTGTCCTCAAGAGATGGGCACGGTAGCTTATTTCCTTGGCTATTATGGTACATTTGGAAGGCACGAAATGCGAAGGTTTTTGAAAATCAGGACCAATGTCCTCAAGAGGTGACTCGGATTGCAAAAGTGGAAGCGGACGCTTGGATGGCGGCCCAGATTGAAGATTCGGAGACCATCCCGGTGAACTCGGTGACACGAACTCCGGTAAAACGGAGACATATTAACTTATCCACTGCTTTTTCAGGATACCCCTGTTTTATTGATGTATCATGGAAAGACACAGATAAGAATGCAGGTTTAGGATGGTTCTGTCAATACTCGCAAGATGGCTCCATCTCGATGGGAGCTTCAAATCCCCGTAGAAGCCTTTCTCCTCTCCATGTAGAGGTAGAAGCACTGATGTGGGCAATGCGATGTATGATAGGGAATGATTTCAGAGATGTAGAGTTCTTAACAGACTGCTCCGATCTGGTGAAGATGGTGTCTTCCCCTTCTGAGTGGCCAGCTTTCTCTGTATACCTGAAGGATATCGATAGTGATAGGGAAGAATTTTCTACCGTTTCTTTATCTCTTATTCCTAGAAGTGCGAATGTAAAAGCGGATAGTCTGGCACGCAATGTGCGTGCTCTACCGCATTCGGTTAAGCTTGTTAACAATTGTCCCCCTAATTGGCTCTTTTGAGCTAATCTATATGAGTTTGGTGTTGACAAAAAAAAATAAAAAAAAATAACATGTTTAAAAATAAATTATCGAATGCTAGAAATAAGTTTATTTAACACACATGTCACTATCGAATGCTATGAGTATTGTCAGAACAAGTCAGAAGGTTGGCGACAAAAAAAAAAAAAAAAAAAGAACAAGTCAGAAGGTTATTTATAAAATCTAACCTGACACTACACCCTTTTATAGGATACGTCAGAACTTATATATTTATTGTTTAGTCAGCTAAGGGTTAGTTGTGTAACTTGGTTATGGGAGAATAGGGAAAACTAATTTTTCAGTTATCGATCCTCTTTTTTTCGTTTTTTGATTATTACAGCACCTATTTTTAACAAGCCCATTTTTAAAACTATTGTAAGAAGTTAGGTATCAATTATAATATATGTTTAGTTTTTTTAGCAGATGTTTTTTCATAAAACAATATTGAACTAAATAAATAAGGAGGACGCAAAAATAATACTGATGAATGTTAGTACTTTTAAATCTTAAATAGATTTGTTAGATGTCATAAAGTTATTTAAAAAAAAAATTAACTTACAATTCTAGTGTTCCAATTTTTCAAAATACATATTATATGATTGTAAGTTTGTAACACTTGTTGTATCATTTATTATTTTTATTTTTTGACAAAGATTTTCTTGTATCATTTATAACATACATCTTCGCGTGAAAACTCACGTCATATGCAAACAAACACGTTATTCCTGACTATACACATATACACGATTCAATCTTTTTTTGGTTTCATAGCCAAGATGCTGAGAGATGCAATAAATAACGTAAAAAAAAGTGTAGAAGTTTAAGATAGAAAGAATTACTTAGATGGACCATAAAAGTAGGTTTATTCACTAAACAGCCACATTTGTTAAGATATCTCAAATTTCTGTTCCGGTCCAAGTGTTCATGTGTGTTTTAACTTTTAATCAAGAACATTGTTTTATAACAACAAATATGAGTATGAGTCAAAGTAATGGGGACTCTGGTGAAGTAGATATGCTTGAGTTTCAAAAGCAACGAAGCTTTGACCTCCTCAGTTGTAACTTCATATCTCTAAGAAAAATGTGTGTTACCCCTAACTTTTACCAAATTATAAAAATCACAAATAAGATTTCAGCAAAATAAAAAAAATAAAAAAATTAATTCGGATTTAAACCTGTTTTCTTTTCTTGTTCTCTCATGCTGATAACAACCATGTAACTGAGACTCCAGTTTTGTTTTATTCACAGAGATACATCAGTTCTCTAACCATGAAATTGGGATTTCATCAGTTGCAATCTGTTCTTGAATGCCATTTTTCTTCCTCGTTAACACAATCTCTCCATCAAATTGTTGTCTATCATGTCAGTAACTTTCATTTCTCTGATTGTTGTGCTCACAAAACTACAAATGAAAATCAAGCCAGATTACCTTCATAGCAAGAAACGATATAAACCTAAAGGGTTCTTCGGATTGAGAAAGTGTTGGGATGGTGGCGATGTTAAGAAACTTTGGAGCTAAGAACAACTACTCAATTACTAAACTCTCATTTCTAATTTTCTAGTCAAATTCGCATTATCGAATTTGTTCATTTAGTTCACAAAGCATTCTAACATCAACTCTTGCAGGCTAGAAACATAATGCTCAAATTACATTCATTCAGACATTTTTATTGAACATCTCTGAAATATAGAAAAGCGTAAGTTCTAAAACAGATAGATCAATCCTATTTCAGCATTGAGAACATGTAAACTGAAGCACCATAAAATAAGAATCTACTAGGTTTTAACCCGCGGGACGTTTGTTTTGACTAAATAATATATATATAAAGTTAACTTTGCTCTCTTCTCCTTCAGCCACATCATCTGCCACGTCATCCGCCACATCATCATTTATCTTTTTTTTTTAGTTATAATGTAAAATAATTAAAATTAAAATTAAGATTTTACAAAAAGAAAACCTACAAGAAAATAATCAAAAAAAAAAACAAAAAAAAGCTACTGTATAATTAAAAAAAAAAAGCATGAGCTTGTGCTAACGTTTCCTTAGTGTCCTTGACGATATGATACTGCAAATTTTGTGGTCAATCAACTTGAAAAAGACAAACGCTCAGAGTTATACAAGACGTTGTTGCGCTGCCGTCAAATGATGTAGACTTTTTTTTGAGATGTTAGCTTCTGGAGGAGAGCAAAGATTATTGAAGAAGAGAGTCGAGTTCAAGGAGAGTAATTTTGATGACGAGGCGAAAAGTCACTGTCAAAGGCAGAGCCTAGAAAATACCAACATCCAAAGCTCGACAGAAAAATCAGAAAAAGGAAGAGATGATCTAGACAACACTCGAAAGACTGAATCTATCCCAAGGAAACAAGTATTTGCCACGTGAGCTATCTATCAAAGTGACTTACCCACATATGGAAAGTTATATTTGGGACAACCCCTTTGAACGAAACATAATATGTCCAATCCTTTTCTGCTTCCCGAAGTCTCAGTGCTTCTGAAGTCTTTGCTGAGGAAATCCCATGACATCATTCATCACATGCACACCGTGAGGACAAATCATCAACAAATATGAAAAAATAGAATAACAAAAAATGACAACAATAAAGAACAATAAAACAAACGTTGCAAAACAAAAAAAAATATATAACAAAAAATAAATAAATAAAATTACAAATTTCCCGCGCGTAGCGCGGGTCAACAACTAGTAATATATATATTTAAGTTATATTTGTTAATTTTATTACCTTTTCAGTGTTTAAAGATTCTGTAGTTGTATTTTTGATTGTTATTTTTATTACTTAACTCGCGGGATATTGTTTTGTAACTGGCGGGACTAAAAAAATTATGTTTAAGTTATATTTGTTATTTTTTTTTGTTATGTTAACCCGTAAGATAACCCGTAAGAAAAACATAAAACTCAAACCCGTTAAATCATATTTATGTAAAATATAAACCTTGAATGTTTTATAGATTTCGAAAGAGATTTTGGTTTTTGTTTTCCAAAAACTCATTTTTAACCATTCAAGATTTTAAAATTTTGGATTCCCTAAAATTTAGTAAAACTTTTTTTGTTGTAATCTTTCATTTAAGATTTTGGATATTTAAGTTTCATATTAGTCATATTTATAATAGTTCCGAACCATTGTCTAAAATTTTCTACCCGATGTGGGACGTTATACATATATGTTTTTTCTTTTATCGATTGAGTAGTATACGTCCATTTTAAAAAATTCAAATTGCTACATATGCGAAAAAAATTTGTATTTTTATTATACTTATGTTTTATGTAATAATTTAAATTTTAAAACAAATAAGATCATATAAAGATATTGGAGAGATATTCAATTTATTAGGGAGACATTTTAGGAAATTTTGTTAAATGTATTAAATATTAGTTTCTAATTTTGCGATTCTGGTGTAATTTAATTACAAATTTTATCTTAAAAGTTTGTTATTTATTTAAATGGCAAGGATTTATTATGCAAATAATACAAAATAAAAGGTTATTTCCAAAAGGTACTTCAGAAATGTTAATATAGATTAAAGCAATGAATCCTCTAATTCATTGAATCTTCTACTTAGAGCCCTAAATCCCAATTGAAAAACTACTCACACATAGTAATTGAAGCAAAACAAACAGACATGAAAGAAAACATGATTCAATAGATTAAAATGAGAATAAAGTTTAGAAATCTTCTCCAAATTGTCAAAAGGACAAATCTCCAATCCCCAAATTGTTACTTACAAATTAAAAATCAGAAACTACTAAAATAGAAAGCGTAGAATGGAAAATAGGTCTCTTGGGTTTTTATACCCATTACAGAAAATAACATTAAGTCCGGTTTAAAAAACCAAATTTGGTAATCGGGCGGGTGGACCGGTCTGATGTTAGACCGATCAATTGTTTGGTCTTTGGTCTGGTACGTGCGCGTCGATCGATCGATCCAAGGTGGGGATCGATCGATCTGTTTGCTTCTGGTATGGTCTAGATGCGTCGATCGATCGATCCAAGGTTTGGATAGGGTTGGGGGACCGATCGATCGAGGGATAGGACCAATCGGTCCTTCGTCTCTGGAATGTGTCGTCGGTTTGCATGCTGGGATCGATCGGTCTGAAGTTGGACCAATCGGTCTTTGCTCTGCATCAGCTAATCTTGCACTTCCTTGCCCGAAACGGGTCCTAAATGCGCCAATTCCACTCCAACTGCCTAGCACATGCACATGACTCGAAATACAACTCGAAAGACACAAAAAACGGACAAGAACACGACAATCGACTCTAATGGACATAAAAGAGAAGGTGAAAGACTCTAAAAACACCATATATCAATAAGTAATTAAACAATTAAATTAGAGATATATAATTGTTGCAAAAGACCCCTTTTCCATAATCTATTCTATCACGTATAATTGCATAGGCAGGAAATGACTATTTTCTCGATAAATTATTATTCATAATTTTTTATCTGTTTATAAATTTACCTCAAATTTTTCTAGTCATTTATATTATTAATCATTTCATTCTATGATCATATTTTCAAATATATTACTACTAATCTTATTTATTCATTATTATTCTTTTTGGTATCCATATTCATTAAAAATGAAAAGTACATTTATGGACACAAACCAGTAAAAATAAAAATAATACAAATGATTGTCTAAACTTAAACAAGGGAGACATAAGCCTAAATGTTCCAAACCTCTCTGGTCAAATACCAACAAGCAAACAATTACATACACACTAGATTAGGCCAGCGTAAATACACGGGTTATATTAAAATTAAATAGTTTTTTTGGAATATTAATTTTGTATTTTATTTGATAATCTTTATGAAAATTTTTCAGTACATTTTTAAAGACAAACAATTGTTTTGGTAAATATTTACTTAGAATGAAGCTGGGAAGAAGAAGAGGGCAACAACAGGGAAATCAAGCTGTGATGTTCCACCAGAAACAAGGATAATACCTCCTCGTAGATCAGCTGTATGGGCACATTTCGTTGAGAATGTAGATTCCGAAGAACCAGTTAGCAATTGTCGCTATTGTGGGCAGGAAATTGGATGTGACAGCAATAAAACAGGAACAACTCCCATGAAGAATCACTTGGAAAGATGTAAGTTGTTCATGGCTTATAAAGAGAGTGGTTCTGAGTCTGTTTTGGTGCCTGATTCTAGTGGTGTAGTCACAGCCATGAAGCATGATAAAGATTTGTTCAGAAGGTCAGTGAATGAGCTGATTGTTCTTATTTTTTTTTTTTTTTTTTTATTTTTGTCGGCAAGAGCTGATTGTTCTTAATGAGCTGCCATTTTCATTTGTGGAATCAGAAGGGTTTAGAAGCATGTCTCTAGGCTAAGCACCTCCTCTCAAAGTGGATCTAGAAGTGATATTGGAGATTCAGAACAAGCAAGTGAAGTGCTTTTTGATTTGTCAGATGAGGATGGGTATGTCAGGGAGTCTTTGTATGATGAGATGGATAATGAAATTGCTAATGAGGAAGCTAGTAGTATGTTCGACATATACTTGATGGAGAAAGCTGTGAAGCGAAATAAAAATCTCTTGGGAATGGATTACGACGTGCTAGCATGGTGGAGGCGTAATAGTGTGAAGTTTCCTGTATTATCTAAGCTTGCTAGGGATGTTCTTGCCATTCAAGTCTTCAGTTGCTTCTGAGTCAGCATTCAGTACAACTGGGAGAATTTTAGACTCTTACAGAATTTGCTTAACACCCAATATGATTGAAGCTTTGCTTTGTTTACAACAATGGATGAGAAACACTATGGATGCAGAAAATATTGAAAACTTGGTTCAAATGCTTGATGAAGTGGAGTTCCATGACTCATTAGGTAAACATTGGACCCTTTTGTATCTGTTTTTACCTTATCTCATTTTATTTATGTAGGTTTAAGATAATCAAGCTTATGACTGTTTCATATTTGTTGTCTTGTGTAATCACGATCCTATGTTTCTCTGATCTCTCTTTCACTCTTTCTAGTTTATTACTTGAACTTATTATGTGCCTCTTGAACTTGAACTTTCTTTTATGTTTGTCTTTATGACTTTGAACTTCTTGTTGAAATGTTGGAACTTATTTGTCGTTAAAAACAGGTTATGTGTGTTAAATGTTATGTTTTGCTTCAATTTTATTAAATTTTGGTGTTAACTCGGGTTGGTTCGTAGCCAAAAAATTAGTTCCAAAACAACTGGTAACCGAACCGAACCGGTCCGTAATTTAATTTGTTTCGTTTCGGAACAATTCAAAAATACAGTATTTACCCGATAACCGGAATACCCGACCCGAACCAACCCAAACTACCTGAATTCCCAGGGCTATGAACAATGTTGTTAGGTTTATATATAAATAGTTTATTAAATAAAATTTCTAGAAAGCAATTGGTCAATTCTACAAAGGAAAAGGTCTGTGGTTTAGTTTCACAATGATATATATATGCATAATTCTTGTGCAAATTTTTAAAAAATTATTGGAGAAAGTCGTCGAACATAGTAGTGTTGTTTGGTGAAGTTAACGTGTAAGGGTTATCATACAGTATATTTGCTACGCTATAGAGTACGTTATAATGTAACGTGTAAGGCTTATAAAATAGTAGAATTTATTGGAGAAAGTCTCCGGTTACTTTACGAATCCTACATATCGTAATAAGTTTAGTAAACTTTTATGAAAAAATTATTTTGCAGAGTTGTCTCCTAAGTTTATTAATAAAGTTATTGTTATAAGGTTGTTTCGTAGATTAATTTCATAGAGTTTTATAGTAAAGTTTTCGGGTTGTAAAGTTATTTTGTAAAAGTCTTGTAAATTTAGTTTGGTACAGTTTTAAGATAAAATTATTTTATAAAGTATATTAATAAAGTTATTACATTAACTTTGTAGAAAAAGTTTAGAGAAAATTATATCCTATGCCCTCTACAGTAGCCAAATTTGTAAGCATGGCCACTTTGTCCAATGTCTTCTCCCACCTGCCATAAGGACCAAACGAAAAGACAATTTTATCCTCATTGTATTAATTCTTGTGCAGAGTAAAAAGTTGAGTTGGGTTATTTTTCCTGCGACAGTTTCAGAGTTCTCTTTCCCAGATTTGACTGTTCACATTCTACAGACATACAATTTTTTCTAATAGACAACCAACGCATACTAAACAATTTTTTTCGTTCACAAATTCTCCCACCATGTTTTACTTTCGATCTAATTCAATATTTTGATATGGAAGGCGGTGAACACGGAGATGATCATTCCAGATCCGGCGGAGATCCTCTCGGCCCGATATCCAAACAAAATTTGTTCTCAGAACTTCTCAATGTAAGTTTCAATGGACCAGATCTACTACACCTAACATGTCCATCAACAAAGTTGTCCATATAGTTTACTACTTATCTTTTTGTGTTTATCCTTCACCAGTTTAAGAAAGCTTATGCAATCCTTGCCAGAGTACCACAACGTTGCCTCCAAATACCAAAATTGTCCATTACTTCTCAATGTAAGTTTTGACAGACGAGATCTACTGCACCTAATATGGCCATCAACACAATTGTCCATATCTTCTTCTAACTCATCTTTTTGTGTTTTTCCTTCACCGGTTTAAGAAAGCCTAGACAAACGTTGTCGGAGTACAAATCTTACTGACCACATGTCAGAGGACACGCATAGGAGTTGTCTCTTGGAATCTGTCAAAGTGAGTTTTCGATGGACCAGATCTACTTTATATATTTTGTCCATCATATATTACTTACTCATCTATTATTTTTTACATCATTTTATAGATTGTCTATCGACTATACACACATCGATAGGCAAGTGGACATCACTACACATTCTTGATTATCTTGTCTTGTCCACCGTAATTAAGCTGCTAAAATCGGAAATCGCTGCTCCTTCTTCACCACCCACACCTTCCACAAAATTTCTCCTATACTTGTCCTCCATTAATACTATTTCAGATCTGATTTTGCAATTTTTTATTTTTTGTTTTGCTTCTAAACACTCACTAAAGCATTTGTCCTCTGGATATTAGCATATATTGTAGCATTTAATGCCACTGTTACTAGCCCCAAAAACATCCCATCACGTTCCAACTTTCGAACACAATTGGCAACTGAGTTGTGAGTTGGTGAGGGCATAGTTGTCTTTTCGTGCTATATTAAAAATCCTATTATGGCATTCAATAAAATACTTATAAAAAAGTGGCAGATTGACAAGTTTGAGTTTAGGAAAGGGTATAGAATATAATATTCCCAAAAGTTTATCGTCAAAGTTTATTTAATTAATATATTTTTGTTTCTTATAACTTTTTGTTACAGAAAATGGTACATTCAATTGCATGTGTGTGACACTTCTATGTTAATCAAATCGAGATCCTAATAATTCTATAAAAAATAAATTTTAATTCTATGCAAATTATAGTTTAAAAAATCAAGATCCTAATAATTCTATAACAAAATACGGCATTTAATTCTATACAAATTAAAAAACTTATACAACATATTATTAGCATATTCTTTAACTACTTTCTAAATTCTACTAGAAACAAAATCACAATCTTAATATTTTTAAAAACTTGTTCACCATGATTATCTCTACTCATGCACATTATATATTGGAATCTCCTCAAAACACTATAAATACTTCTCATTCACAACACCTAATCACACCAATTCGATAAATACAAACAAAAAAATATTCAAAATATAGTATTAGCGTAGCAATTTTACTTTTCTTTATCATCATAAATGTTTTTTTATTTATTGTTTAGAGTTTTTATTCTAATATTTTATTGTTTGATTTTTTTAATTAGTTTTAAAAATTGTCCAGTTTGTATAAAATATGTTCATCTTTAGTTTGTATGAACAATGTCAAGTTTGTATATACATTGATCAAGATGTATTTTTATTCACAGTCGTAGCTCTAAAATTATTAACATAATTTTCCCATTAACTCCATCTCTCCCTATAAATAAATGCATTTATGATTAAATACACAAAGTCTCATCAGTCACATTTTCAGAAATTGTTTTAAAAAAAAAATATCGAACCTATTTTATTTTTGCTTATCAAATTTTGAATATATGTGAAACTGAAACTATAAATATTACATTTTATAATATTTATCAGAAATATATTCTGAAAAAGTACAATAATATCAAAATTCACAATTTATATTCGTAAAATTCTTTATTTTATTGTGAAAATAGTAAAAATTACTACAAAAACAAAAAAGTTTCTCACGGGTTTACGTTAACCAAATTTAGTTAAATATTTTTTTTTGACAAATAATAAAAACGTTATAATTTCTAAAAATAATTGAAATTCTATATTTTACTTCCAATTCATATAGATTTTGTAAGGGAAAAATGCCATAAAAATCCTGGAGAGTACGATTTCGTTGATTTAAATCCCGAACTCTCCAACTGTTGATTTAAATCACAAACTTTATGTTGACTCTCTCTTTAATATGAAACTTTAGTTGACTTTGCCAATTTAGGCACATCTTTAAAACGCCAAACGGAGCAATTAGACGAGGTTAGATGTCGTTAACGAAATCCATCAAATATGAAATGAAACCGTTTTTAACATAACCCAAACACTTAATCGATTCAACTTTCTGTTA